TATCCAATCCCAAAAACTAAGATCCAGTAACTCAAAACTCATTTCCAATCCCAAAAACTAAGATCCAGTAACTTAAAACTCATATCCAACACCATTAACAAAGATCCAGTTACTCTAATGTCATATCCAACACCAAAAACAAAGATCCAGTAGCTCTTTAGTCATATCCAACACCAAAAACAAAGATCCAGTAACTCTAATGTCATATCCAACACCAATAACAAAGATACAGTAACTCTAAAGTCATATCCAATCCCAAAAACGAAGATCCAGAAACTCAAAAACTAAAATCCAGTTACGTTACATGAAGCAACGTTCAAAATTTTAACGGCTATTTTGAAATTTGAAATTGTTTTATCAAACTCGTATGTTATGCAAAAGTCGGCTAAGTCGTTGCAAAAAACATATAAAAGTTAATTTAATTAAGTTTTGGTAAGAAGTTATGAAACATAAAGCGGATTCGGTTTGCCTACAATATGGCAAGGATTGAATGCAAAAAATCCGAAGGCTCTATATGCTTTCATTGCTGAGATCTCACGGTACCAGCCAGCCAGCCAGCCAGCCAGCCAAAGTGAAGATAAAAGCGTATTGTTCCTTAGGAAAATACGCTAAAAAGCTCAGTGCAATGTCACACAAAGAATGCGCTCGAGAGGCATTAAATGAAAATTTATTGCATAAATATATTTTTTACAGCTAAGCACTTAATTTATAGTCGAATGACACACAAAAATGCAATATTTCTTTTTTGAGTGCTGACCTGTATGCACAATAAATGTGTTTGGCTGTGGAGAGATATTTATTTATAGAGTATGGATATAAAGTCGTGTGCTGTGCACGATCGTGAGACAAGTTTTATTTTCTTGGTCAAAAGTCGTGTGTTCTATACAATTTTGAGCCAAATTGATGATGAATTACTTAAAGTCGTGTGTTGTGCACGGTTTGGAGACAAATTTTAGATTAAGAACTCGAAGACAAGTTTTGTGCACCGTTTTAAGACACGATTTATATAAAGCTCCAAAAGTCGTGTTTTGTGCACGGTTTTGAGACACGATTTATATAAAAACATCAAAAGTCGTGTGCTGTGCACGGTTTTGAGTCAAATATTAGATTAAAAACCCAAAGTCGTGTGCTGTGCACGATTTTGAACCAAATTCATGAAAAAGAACCTGAAATTGTGTGTTGTGCATGAGTTTGAACCAAACTTCAGAGAATGGATCCATCGTCGTATGTCACAAGTTATTCAAACCCAATTTTAAATGTAAATCCTTTATTCAGTCTCTATGTCAATCAAATATTAATTAAAAATTTTAATTTATTTCCTCCAAAAAAGTTTTAATCACAATATTCTCATCAAACTTCACCACAAAAGCCTCAAAAAATCGTCCACCATAAATTTTTTTCCATTGTTCCTCAAAAGGTAATTATTTCCCATTCACGTTTGACATTTTTTTTTATATTCACACCGTTTTCAGGCGTGAATGTTTTGTTTTTGTTCAGATTGAAAAATCAGTTTTTTGAATTTTGTGGGGATATGTAGCAAGATAACTTAAAATGTTCAGAGATGAAAAGTTTGTGCCTGGAATTTCACATCTTTTGCAAAAAACAGATTTCAAATTGGTTGAGGTATTGCTGAGAAAATCGCAAAATACGTTTTCAGTAAGCAAACAAGCAAGCAAGCAAGCAAGTTAATCAGCAAGAAATCTCAATTACGAGACATCGTAGAGAATTCTAGCTTTTTACATTTGATCCGTGCTACTCTATAGAAGAGCTGTATTGTAATTAGGCAAGGTAGGAACAGCCGTTGCTTCAGAAAAAGCAAAAAACTTTCCTTTCTTACGAATTTTTCAAATTAAAAGTTCACTGTGATTTTTTTTATTTTAAATTAAACTTTGGATGAAAAAAAATTTTTGAACAAAGAACCAAGGAGGAAATACATTTTCAATTTTGGACTAGACGCGACACTAGTCAAAATCAATTTTGTCACTTTTTTCTTCGAGGGTTTATCCAAATGTATTGAAACTTTGCATAAATATTCTAGTGCTTAAAACAAATACAAATGAAACATTCTAAAATTTTTTTGAAGAAAGAACCAAGTAGGAAATACATTTTCAATTTTGGACTAGACGCGACACTAGTCAAAATCAATTTTGTCACTTTTTTCTTCGAGGGTTTATCCAAATGTATTGAAACTTTGCATAAATATTCTAGTGCTTAAAACAAATACAAATGAAACATTCTAAAATTTTTTGAGCAAAGAACCAAGTAGGAAATACATTTTCAATTTTGGACTAGGGGCGACCCTAGACAAAATCAATTTTGTCACTTTTTTCTTCGAGGGTTTATCCAAATGTATTGAAACTTTGCATAAATATTCTAGTGCTTAAAACAAATACAAATGAAACATTCTAAAATTTTTTGAGCAAAGAACCAAGTAGGAAATACATTTTCAATTTTGGACTAGGGGCGACCCTAGACAAAATCAATTTTGTCACTTTTTTCTTCGAGGGTTTATCCAAATGTATTGAAACTTTGCATAAATATTCTAGTGCTTAAAACAAATACAAATGAAACATTCTAAAATTTTTTGAGCAAAGAACCAAGTAGGAAATACATTTTCAATTTTGGACTAGGGGCGACCCTAGACAAAATCAATTTTGTCACTTTTTTCTTCGAGGGTTTATCCAAATGTATTGAAACTTTGCATAAATATTCTAGTGCTTAAAACAAATACAAATGAAACATTCTAAAATTTTTTGAGCAAAGAACCAAGTAGGAAATACATTTTCAATTTTGGACTAGGGGCGACCCTAGACAAAATCAATTTTGTCACTTTTTTCTTCGAGGGTTTATCCAAATGTATTGAAACTTTGCATAAATATTCTAGTGCTTAAAACAAATACAAATGAAACATTCTAAAATTTTTTGAGCAAAGAACCAAGTAGGAAATACATTTTCAATTTTGGACTAGGGGCGACCCTAGACAAAATCAATTTTGTCACTTTTTTCTTCGAGGGTTTATCCAAATGTATTGAAACTTTGCATAAATATTCTAGTGCTTAAAACAAATACAAATGAAACATTCTAAAATTTTTTGAGCAAAGAACCAAGTAGGAAATACATTTTCAATTTTGGACTAGGGGCGACCCTAGACAAAATCAATTTTGTCACTTTTTTCTTCGAGGGTTTATCCAAATGTATTGAAACTTTGCATAAATATTCTAGTGCTTAAAACAAATACAAATGAAACATTCTAAAATTTTTTGAGCAAAGAACCAAGTAGGAAATACATTTTCAATTTCGGACTAGGGGCGACCCTAGTCAAAATCAATTTTGTCACTTTTTTCTTCGAGGGTTTATCCAAATGGATTGAAACTTTGCATAAATATTCTGGTGCTTTAAACAAATACAAATAAAACATCCATAAAATTTTTTTGAGCAAAGAACCAAGCAGGAAATACATTTTCAATTATGAACTTGGGACAGGTCTAGTCAAAATCTAGTTTTTAACTTTTTTTTCTTCGAGGATAAATCCAAATACAGTAAATTTTTGTATGAGCATTTTAATCCTCAGGTCACACATTTCTGAATTAATAAAAATCATTTTTTTGTACAAAATTTTAAGTCACGTTGTTTTTGAATGTACAGCCAAATATATAAAATTTGGGTCTGACGACATATAGAATACATTTCTTCCTTTATATATTTAAAACTGTTTTGTATAAATATTAGTATACTCACTCAAAGTTTCACTGTAATTGGATAAACCTTCGAAGAAAAAAAGTGAAAAACTAGATTTTGACTAAACCTGTCCCAAGTTCATAATTGAAAATGTATTTCCTACTTGGTTCTTTGCTCAAAAAATTTTAAGATGTTTTATTTGTATTTGTTTTGAGCACTAGAATATTTATGCAAAGTTTCAATCCATTTGTATAAAGCCTCGAAGAAAAAAGCGAGAAAATTGATTTTGACTAGGGTCGCGTCTAGTCCAAAATTGAAAATGTATTTCCTACTTGGTTCTTTGCTTTAAAAATTTTAAAGATGTTTTATTTGTATTTGTTTTGAGCACTAGAATATTTATGCAAAGTTTCAATCCATTTGTATAAAGCCTCGAAGAAAAAAGCGAGAAAATTGATTTTGACTAGTGTCGCGTCTAGTCCAAAATTGAAAATGTATTTCCTACTTGGTTCTTTCTTCAAAAAAATTTTAGGATGTTTTATTTGTATTTGTTTTAAGCACTTGAATATTTATGCAAAGTTTCAATCCATTTGGATAAACCCTCGAAGAAAAAGTGACAAAATTGATTTTGACTAGGGTCGCCCCAAGTCCAAAATTGAAAATGTTCTTTGCTCAAAAAAATTTTAAGGATTTTTATATGAATTGACATAATTCTGACATAAATCACATACCAATATTACTATTTGTAATGCATAGCTTAAAAAAATCGGAATCTAAAATTTCGACTACCCCATCTGAATTTTGTTCATACTCTTCACTGTAAAAACCAAAAAACAAATTCTTTATCTTAAAACACTTGACAAAACAGCGACATAATTCAGGATTAATTACTTTATAATAATATTTTAACATTTACGAGAAAATGTGGTTCAAATAAGTGTGAAATATGGCCGAGATTTGGACCAAAATCAGCTATACTGGTTCATAGTGTTCCCGAGGGTGACAAAATTCAAACTAAGTGTTTTTGTAGCTGACATAATTATGACATAAATTAGGTAAAACTTTTGAACTGTGTCGATATGGGTCTCGGCCGTACTTCATGCCCACCTTTCAAACTTATGCTGAGCAAATCTTGGTCTATCCATAAGACTTTTGATGGTACGGTGTGAATATATCCGCATTGGGTTTCTACCCGATACACTAGTTTACATTTTCATTTTTTTTTTGATGAAAATGAACACGACAAAAAAAAAGCATCAACTCCGATAGAAAAAGTTTTTCAATTAAGCAGTAAAAGTTACACAATATGTAAAAAAAATACTCACCGTTGCAGGCCGCACGTAAAATCAGTTGGTTTAAGGACGAAGGTGAATGTGACGAGATAGCACATGAGAATGCCGACGAGTAGAACGTAACTAAGTTCACGGCCTGAAGCACGTACGACTGGTGTGTCGTTATTTCTATTAAAAAGTAAAAATAATTAAAATAATTTCGTCATTAAATTGTAATTTTGAAGGGATGGCCGTAAAAATCGGGAACTTTTACAAGATAATTAAATAATAATAAAATGGGATTCGCCATGAAAATCAGGATTTATTGTTAAGTAATTTCAAAAGTTTAAAACAAAAATCAAAAAGGCAATTAAAAATTGAATAAGGTTGGCTGAAAAAACAAGAAAACTCACCTCAAAAAGATTCCTATAACAAAAACAGTAATACAGATTCCGATAAGACCAAAAGTCATAGCACCAACGGCCCACCAAGAATCGGCTTGAAGATAAACCTCAGGAATATTATCACAGTGTTCTTTAACAGCATTAGGAATTGTTCCCCACGGACACATAATACATTGTGTCTCATCGCGAGGATTAACAATTTGATACGTCGTACAGTTGAAGCAGTGCCAGCAACAGCTCTCACCCTCGACATATTTCTTCGCTTGACCACGTTCACATGGCAAACTGCAAACTGATTCTGGCGGTTTTGCATGCTTGTAGCTAAATTGTATCTCATTCATCTCCAAAAGAAGTTGGCCTTGCTTGTACTCACCAACTTTCACCCACTGATATTTGCCGGGTGTAACTTGTTTGAAATGAATTATATTGTAACGTGCTGGTCCATCGCCATTTGAATCAAAATTAAATTCATCTCCGGATAGACCACGGAATTTTACATTTCGAAGATATTTGAGGAGTTCAGAGCCTTTTGTTGGACGCATTCCTTCACAGAGGCCTGGACGACCTCCACAGACGTCTTGATGCATGTCTCTGTGGGGGTAGAAATAGGGAATCAGTAAGATTAATGGCGAATGGTTCACTTTAGACTACAAAAGAAGTTACTAACCTCAAAGCATACGCAAATGCCATCACAGCATCACTTACGAACTGCAGTTGATCCTCAAAGTCAGTATTAATTTTAGTCAATTTCTCCTTCCTCGAACACATTTTCGTGTATTTCTTATTATAAGGCGTTAAACTACTATTTGGATATTTACATTCAAAATGATCTTCCCAGAACTCAATGAACCAAGGATTTCTCTCATTTGATTCAACTGTCAAGTTTAGGAAATAATCCTCAAAGCCTCGAACACTGTTGGCTTGAGGTTGGACTGACAATGTGCCTTCAACTTCAGCTTCATTGCCATCCGATACAAGATTTCTTGCTGACCATCCATCACTTCCAATCCAGGAAAATACACCGGTGGCTTTGTTCCTTCGAACAGCTCTCATTACACCAGCGACTTCTTGGTCGGAACCGAAAATTATACAACCTGAAAATGAAACAAATGAAAAATTTAGTAAAAAAAGTTTTTTCACAAATTGAATTTCAAAAAAGCACATAAAGAAAAAAAAATCCCAAATTTTTCCATTTCACTTCCTCCAACATTTTCCCTCCAGACATTTAAATCCACAGAAAAAAAATCCCAAATAAAAATCTACATAACAATATATCACAAAATGCAGAGTAAGCTGGAAAAAATCTCTCGTGGGATTCATATGCGTGCTGTCTGACATTGAACCCAAATAAATAAAATTATAAGAAGGAAGCATAAAAAGAGCTTAAAAGCTTCTCGTTTTTTTTTCGGACCCAGGTATATTAACAAAACATTTTTCATATTTTATGTGCGTGGATGTGAAGTTTTTTTTTTCATTTTGTTTGTTGTGTTAAATCATGTGTGGAGTCGGATGGTGAGGTTTTGGTTTAGGTGTGGGTGGGGAATGTGGGATATTTTGGTGAACATTAAATGGAAGATGGATAAGAGCATTGAATTTTCGATATTAGCCAGTCATCCAATTCGTGCAAAAATTTGCTAAAATTCTGGCACAAGTCAGCCATAATTCTGGCTCGAGTCAGCCATAATTCTGAAACAATCTAGCAACAATTCTGGCACAAGATAGATGTAATTCTGACACAAGCCAGCCATAATTCAGACACATTCAACCATAATACTGGCACGAGTCAGCCATAATTCTGAAACAATCTAGCAATAATTCTGGCACAGGTTAGCCATAGTTCTTACACATATTCAACATAAATTTGGCACAATCTTTCCATAATTCTGGCACAAAATAGATAAAATTCTGGATTAAATTAGCATTAACAATATGTATTATAAAAAATTAAGACGCAAATTTATTCAAGCAATCAAAGTTCTCGCACATCATCTTCAACATATCCAAAACAATTTTAATATTTTTGCTTAACAAACAATAAGAAAATATTGCCGGAAGGTCTGAATACTACACAGAATCTACAATATCTTCATATTTCAGTTAAGGTACGCTCCGTAGATGATTTATTAAACTGATGTAAAAGAGATTATTAAAATTTTTGTTGATTTTCTATCTCATTTGTGTGTAGTTTGATGTTAAACGATATCTCAAGGTTGGAAGTCAACTTCGTTACCTTTGCTGAGCATTGAAAAATTTTTGATTTTGAGCTTCGTAATTTTTCTTTTTATAAAATCGTCGTAAATTCATCTAATTTCATAAAAATGTGGCGTTATTTTTGTTTACAGTTCAGAATTTTTATTCTTTTGCGTTTTGCTTGAAAAAATCATGGCAAATACTTAAAAGAATTTTGTGATTAAGGGCCGTTTACTTATGACGTTCAGGAGGAGAAGAGGAGAGGGGTCAGCAAAAAAAAAACAATAGAAATTATTAGAATTCCATTGTTCTTTTTTGAAAAAAGACCGTTAATATCGGACGTCATAAGTGAACGACCCCTTATGAAGATTTAAGATAAATTTGAGGAATAAATTACTGGGATTGAAGCAGTAAATGAAGTAGAACATGTAGATAATTTGGACATAATTTATATTCATAATAATGCAGAACAAAGTTTAAAAATCTGTAAAATAACCTCAAATTTCCAAACCAAACCCCCAAAAAAGCTCAAAGGCGCCAGCCTCTCAGCAAAATATCTCAGCAGAACCGAAACTTCATTCGCAGTGCTCCCCAAGTCATCGTAAACATTCAAAATATTTCTTCCACGAACTTATTGTTTCAAACCTCATGCGTGGGATGCTCTCTTTTGTTGGTATTGTTCATATGGAATATAATCACCTGACAAAAATCAATTTGCTTAGCAGTAAAAAAACATAATTTCTCACATATGAACGTCCCATTTATGATACCCGAGATTAAGGGGGGAAAGAGGGGGGTCTAAGTTTTTGGGAAAAATTGAGACAGAAGAGGGGGACGGGGTCAAGAGATTCATTTTATGAACGTCATAAGTGAATGGCCTCATTGTTAAAGGATGAAGGACTTTATGGTACAAAGAATTTAAGTACTGAGGCTTCAACTACCAACGCACAAACACAAAGTTGTTCGCAAGGTTGATGATGTTGTCAAAAAAATTCATGAATGAAAAACTTTTCTAGAAGTTATTAATTTAGGTATGAAAAGTTCTCATTAATGAAACTCATTTTTATTCCCACATCAACAATTTTCCCGCCAAAAATTAATTTCTTCGATTATGCTTCAAGCGATCTGACATGAAAATGGTTGATTTTTGTTCAAAGTTGCCCCTTACCCTTCATCACATCAGTCCCAAGTCAACAATATCAAAATTTTATTAACAATAAACAAAACGAAGTTTAAATTGAGTCAAGCCACAACAATATTTAACATAATTTAAACAAAATTGTAGAAAACAAAGAGTCCTGAGTGACACAGATACAAACGTTGAAATATAGTCAAGCTGTACAATTTAGCAGACAATGTGAAGGAAAAAGAGTGAAAATTTTGTGGTTTTGAGACACATTTGTTGTTTATTATGAGAAAAAGGAATTTGATAAGTTAAAACATGTTAGTATTCGCAGGATTCTGGAAACAATGCGACTTATAGATGCAATTTGGCTGGCTGGCTATCACAGTAATACAAAAATGGGACTATTTCGAGGTTTCTAGATTTTTGAACTCGATAGCTGTCAATTAATGTATGAAGAGTTGCATATTTGTTATTTATAATCTTTTGTAGTTTCTTTTGTTAATTAACCTTTGCATTATTAGTGGCTTAACTCATTGTTGCATAACATATGACTTTAATTTCATTAATTTTGAAATTTGAATTTTTGAAGCTAGCTTTTGTTGCCAATTTGAAGAAATTTTTGAGTCCATGCTAGGGTGGGGGTGTTTAGTGATGCTGTACCTCCTTTAAAGGCAACCAAAGCACTAACCCTGTCATGTTAATAAACTCACACCTTCAAAACCTTTTTCTCAAAAAAAATTATTAATTGCTGCGTGGTTGATAATGGAAATTTTGCGGTTGACTAGATCCTTCCTCCTCCTCTCATCCTAAACTTCATGTGATTTATGAAAATTACTTTTTAGTGGCTTAAAGGTGCGAAACTTCATTTTATCTTGTGGGAATCGAGGAACACGAAAGGATGAAAAATTTACGAGGTTTGTTTCCTCAAAATAAGAGAAATTGGCGGTTGTAGACCCAAAAATGTTGCATCATTTAAAGTAACAAACACAAAAGAGATGAAAAAAGTTTTATTGTTTTCGGGACAAAGTTTCTTATTTTAAATAGAAGCCCATAAATTTTTAAACTGTTCATGTTGAAGATTTTCATGAAAGATAAAGGAACAGATCATAAAGTAAAAGTTGGGACAATGAAATGAGATTAAAAGACTGCTTGTTGTAGGTTTGTAAATTAAAATTGTATTTTAAAATAATTAAAATTGGATGTTTGGGACATTTTGTGAATTTTAAGATTGAGTTAATTAAAAAATTTGAAACATTTAAAAAATGTTGAGTTTGAAATTTTTAAAAAAAGCAAGATTTAAAATTTAAAAATTTTGAAAATTATCATAGATATTTTAAAATAATGACAAAAAATTAATATTTTAAAAATTTGATAAAAATTTACAAATTTGCAAAAATTG